CGTTGTACTGTCTTGTCCTCCTGCGCTCCTTGAGCGTGTATGAAATTTATTATGTCTGTCCTCTGGGTGGGTCAGATGCCCCGTACGTCCGAGCCCCAACTCTTTGGTAAACTAGAAGGTTCTTGGAGGCGTCGGAGGAGTGTCTATGGGAGAATTTCTCGGTACATGATTCTCCTATATACTCCGTAAGGAGACCCCGGCGGCAAGGGGCGCCCTTACCATCCACCCTCGTTTAGATATTGATCAGGACTTCGTTGCCAACCAGTCCTTTATCCGGTCCAACCCCTGCAGGTCTCCAACCTTCGTATCCTTATTATTCTCGTCAACCCACCCAGGAGTAAAACTACCGCCAAAATCGATCAGCCAAGCATTGTAATCCTTGTCCACCAGTATGTTGCCCGGCTTTGCATCCCCCCATACCAGACCTGCTTCATGCAGGCCTTGTTTTATGAGGTCCTCCAATTCGCAGATTAAGCGGGGGCCGTGCTCATTGATGAATTTGTCTTTTGGGCACCAGATTCTTTCATTCAATTAAAAATCACCAGATTCGGATCCCTCGGATCCCTCGAATCACCAGGAATCATCGTTGGTTCGAGCGAGACCACCAGATCCCCCCGTTGGTTGGATACATCAAATTCCATGACTCTTTTCGTTAGTACCATTAGGTTCCTCTGTATGTAGACTGACAGGGATGAACCTAGACGATGTAAGTGGTTGGCAGTAGCCTCTTTCTCTTTCCTATATGCAACCACTATGTCATCCACGTAAAAAAATATGAGAATTCCATCTCTTGTGAAACAGCATGATTCATGGGGCACTAAGAAGACAGATCATCAATCTCTGTACGCTGAAGAAGCAGAGCAGAACAAGAACAACAACAAAATACACTTAACAACCTGAAAAATCTGAACTCGCTTGAATCTAACAGTTATCTATGCTAGCCTGATAGGCCCGTATTGGATGCAAGCACTCTCGGCTTATATGTACAAGCATTCAGCCTGCAGTTGGTCCACAGTGGGCTGACAAGACAGCGTCTGCTTGTGGAGATCAGCATATCCACAACTAGCTTAAAAAGTCAGATCTTGATTTGGCTATTAAGCAGCGTGAATAGCGACGCTTGAGTTCCTTACGACGTTCGGTTGTTCTGATTCTGATATACTCATAGGGCAGAAATTTATGTCCATGATCCATTTTCTGGTCATAGTTCATTTTCCGCTAGCAGTCCAGTTCCTACTTCGTGATCCAGTCCTAGCACTTGGTCAAGCTCTTGTTCATGATCCAGTCCCTGCTCATGGTTCGGTTTTATCTTCCCTGACTGCTGCCCAACTAATCCCATGACCCATTGCTACCTCATGCAGAAATACAACCACCCTGCGATGTAGAAGGCGCCCGCAGGGTTTCGATGGCCATTGCTGGCAGCATTTGACCATCCGTTTTCGAACCATGGTTCACCCGAATCTATCATAACGCGGAAGCAACATGACATGGCCTATATTTGATAATATATTGTCCAGTTATTTGTCTAGCCACCCATTCCTGTCTGTTTATTCTCCCTTTCCTCGGATGCTCTTATGCGACTATGGCTGTTTTGTGCCAGAGGGGGCTAGATCGGGGCGTAATGTTCATGAGTCATCCTGATGGTCGTGCAGTATTCTGCCAATATATACAGCCTCCTCTTGACTGAGGAGTTGTAATGGTGTTATGGCCGTTGCAGTAGGCTCTAAGACGTGCGCAATGGAGATAAAAGCTACGGCATGATTGAATGTGATGCACGACTGATGCGTGGCTGATGCATAGCTGATGCCTCGGTTGTCCCAATTGCGATCGGTGCCTACACGCAGGCATCCGTGTATGCCCTCGCTGAGCAGGCCGCTGCTATGATCTCAGGGCGAAGAGATTCTGAAATGTTACAAGGTGATACATGCGGATAAAGCCGAGGCTGGCTATGAATCACTCTTAGCCACTCATTTACTAACAGCAGCTGTTTTTGGCTGTAGAAGGAGAATACGGGAGATCCGGCTTAGAGACAGTCGACAACAGCTCAGTGACGACGACGGCGACCTCGAAGTCGTCGTCGCCGTCATGACGGCTCCAGACCTTAGGGAAAGGAGACGTGCCGCTCGTCGCCGCAGGACCTGACGAGGATCACGACGCGCGTCGCTCTTTAGCGACGAGTCGCCTTTGCGACGACCCGACGTCGACGGCCCCGAACCACGATACGAGAGAGCCCCGATGCCGAACATACGTCGATAGAAGGGGCTGACGAACGCGACTGTTCAAATCGCCGGTGAACCGCTACGGTGGGAGGAGCTCGTGATACGGTCGGCTAGACGGTGACCTATTGGCGGATGGGAGGTTGGAAGCTTCGTGTCAGCCCTACGGAGCCCCAGAATCAATGATATCGCAGATCGGGATAGATGTCGATACCATCCCTCACCCGGAGGAGGGGGGACACGACACGACCCGCTGCTTAGATACAGTAGCTGTCTACGGACGAGATCTGCTAGCTGGGCAGCTGTATATCATATAGTATAAGACCTAGCCTAGCACGGCCGCGCGCCCTTTTGGAGGCCCTGGGCCGCCGTTATGCGGCAGGCCCACTGGCGTTAAATGCTACTACTACTACTATGGCCTTGACCCCATACTCGAGTATTATGATTGATCGTTTAAGCCTGTTCTAATAGATACCTTATAAGAACAACTTCTTAATGTTTTATAGAGCTAGAGTATACTATACACTTTAGCGTCCAAGCAATCCGGAAAATACCACTTGGGCGCTACTTCGAGACCTCTTAGTATACAGTTTGATTGTCTATAAATATATCAAGTTGCCCATTCCCTTTTATTAACTTGTTTTGGCATTGGTATCGACCTCATTTACAAAATGTCCACTCGACGTCCCATGTACACTACCACCATTGGATCCATCTCCCAGCCGAAGCTTGTTACTCCAACTGCAACACGGCCGTGGCTGTACATATGCCTCGTCGGATGGCGCGTGTTCGATGCTGTCGAGCGACTATGAAGGATTGGGCGCCGGAGCCAGTGAAGTAGTGTGATACGCATACATGAGATAAACTGAAGCTGGCTATGAATCACTCATGCTAACTATCACTGAATTTGAACCCCACAGGTTACATCGAGAAGCAAGTCGCCCATCTCATCAGCCCTGATATATATCTCTTTTTCACACATCTTGTCGAAGCCCGTGAACTTCCCCATTTCCTTGTCCCATGTAACCTTTATTGGGAATCCGTCTCCACCTGGCCGTACTACAGCCGAGAACATAGGTAGTCCAGCCAACAGGTAACAACCCAGGTCCTCACCATCCCAAATCTCAGCACTGCCACGACGCCATCCCTTTCTATGCCGATCCCACGTCAATATCTCACTCCACCCGTCTATTTGATAAACGATGCTCTCTATATGAATATATACTTTTTTCCAACGTCTTGATTTCCTTCCCAGACCTCGTGCTCGCTTTGGCTTCCGTTCCTTTGTTGTATCTGTTCGGATTCTCTTTGGAGGCCGTGGTCGTTTCCACACGGCCAGCCTGTCAGCAAAACCAGGCTCTGGCCCAAGCTCCAGTGATGACGATGTGGTCGTGTCAGCCAACGATTCCATCGCCAGCCTCTCATTCTGCCTTTTGCTCTCTTCAGCTTTGCTAGCCTGTGCGGCAGACACTGTATTATTGTTATAGCTTGGAGGACAGATTGTTGTGGCGTTTGATGGGCTCTGCGAGTCGGACGTAGATGATTAGGGGGATATAACAGGGCCTAAGCAATTTCCTTCAATCACTGCGTCCGGCTTGCTCCTGCTCTCTGGATTGGGCAATGCCTCGAAACCGGGTCCGGTTATATTGAGTGCCAGGTACTCTGCAAATAGCGCATCATTGACCATCCTTGTTGAATCCACGTCATTTCCTCTGGCTGATGCGTCCCAGTTCGAACATAGGTTGCCGGAATTGTGATCGGTGAGCAAATCCATCATGAAACTCGCGCTTTTAGTTTTAGCAGCACTATTTGCTTTGCCAGTGCCGCCTTTGAAATGAGTGAAGTCGATGTCATAAGATCTACCGAGAAGACCATTCGACCAGAAGCCCCTTTGCAGGTAATCAGGTAAAATACCCAGGTAGTTGTCATGGGGAAGTTGGTTCGAGTCGACCGGTATGAAAAAGGCGCTAATCTCGCTCTGAATATTATCAGAAAGACTTGAGTAGCGGCTTCGATCCAAGTTCCAAAGAGAATCATGAGACAGATACGGAGTATCTTCAGGGAAGTCCATGATAGGCCGCGGAGGAGTTATATAGGGAGAAAGGAGAAATGGAAGGATAAGGGGCGGGAGTCCAAAGCTTGTGCCATCATCCCCCTTTTATACTTGACGCGGAGGCAGCCCATCCGTATGGACGGGTGCTCCTGTCAGCGTTGGTAAGATTCCCTGGCTTATAAAGGAAATTATAGCCCGCCAGGCATGGGCTGATGCATCGGCGAATGTGCCTTCTTCCACACCAGAGCCGATCGACAATAAGGACTTCAAAGGAGCCTACGTCATACCGCGGTACCATAAACGGGCCTTATTGATTAGGACCCAATGCCTTCCAAAGTTCCATGCTGACTTAACGACAATGACGTTGTTAATGAGGCTGCGAGGTCAATCAGGTCTAGGTGGTATGATTCTGTCCAAAGCTCGGCTTTCTTACGCAGTCTCATTGATATGATCAATCCCATGAGGTCAATTCGACCTTTCCCCCCAGGGCTCAAGGGATGCGCAGTGCGTCAACCATACGTCTACGGTAGTAGCGGCACCCCTACGGCTGCATGCAGGCGGTAGAATCAGAGCTATTGTGATGACTACCTTCCTACCTGCTGTACATCATTAAAGTCCACAGGGACTAGACACCTTCAGGTACTGCGGGACTCAGTTGATACTTCACACAAAGGTTGATACTTGAGATCTTTTAGTACCTTATTGTAACTAAACTTACTGTCCCATCCTTGGGCTCATGCCTGATGACCTGTAGCTAACGCCCTATTGACGATGCCTCTGGCTAGATCTCGCATACAAGTCTTCGTATCAAGCAGCTCGAGCATACTGATATCGACCCCAAAAGCCATATTCAGCCAGTTTCGCAGCTCAGCCGCGATGAGGCTATCGACGCCGTAGTCGGCCACCGTGCGCGCCGCGTCAACGCCCAAGACGTCGATGAAGAGCATCTGTGCCACCGTCCCGGCAATCGTAGTCGACACCATGTCTTCCATCTTGGCCCGGTCATCCTCGGTCCCGGCCCGGCCATTGCCTTGATAAGTTCATTAAATTGGCGGCGCAGGTCTGTGGTGGCCGACTTGCCGCGGCTACTGTCGTCCTTGGAATGCTTGCAGTTTGCGGCTGCCGTATCGACGTCCTTAAAGTACCATTCGGCGTCCTCCAAGGCCCGCATCACCTGCCCGACCCTCATGTCGCTGTACCATCGAGGTGCCAGGCTGCCTGCATGGCCGCTGCCGGAAGCCAGTCCTTCGCGCTCTCTGGCGGCCATGGCGCGCGGATCGAAGCACGTGATGACATTGGCACCGGAAAAGGGGTCATCTTGGGCACCGGTCCAACCCTGAGTGGTCCCACCCGAGGGCCCGACCAAGTTGTTCAGCAAGGCCAGTTCGAGAAGCTGTAGGAACTGATGCGTTGTCACATTAAGCACCTTGTTACGGGCCATCAAGCTAAGCGTGGTGCTGTTTGTGCTTAGTGACCCGACGTCCGTTATGAGGCCAAAGGAAGCTGTGGAGGCAGGGAGGCCAAGGCCTCGCCGGTAACGTGCAAACATTTCTTGAAAATTGTTCGATGCCGTATACGCACTCTGGGTGGCGAGTGCTAGCACGCATTCAGCTGACGTTGTCATAACGAGAAAATCGAGTGGACACGACCTGGTTGCCTCGTGCAAGTTCTTGGTTCCGTGGACCTTGGCTGCGAGACCTTGGTTCCACTGCGCAGTAGTAAGCTTGTTAAACGAGAGGTCCTCGTACGAAACAGCAGCGTGAACAACGCCCTTTCTAGCTAAATATTTCCTTCCATCACTGTTTAAGAATCAATGGACTGATCCTCCGGGTCGTAAAATTGCCACATTATGGTGCTGCCCCAGACGTCCAGTATGAAGAACAAGTAACCATGTAAGTGTATGGCCTGCACAGCTGTCGCTTCCTCATTACCTAAACTTAATGCCAGTCCAGGTAAAAACTTGTCTTTACCGATGACCCCTTGGCCAAGCCTCGTGATGCAAGCCGTATTGGCCCGATGCATATCCTCCGTGTAATATTGGCTGATATTTAGCTCAATATTGGCGACGTGAAAGAAAATATCTCTTTGTTCTTCATTTGACCATTTGTACCGGTTCAGGCATTTGAAGAAGAGATCTTTGTGAGGTAAACCGGAGCCATCTATAGCATTCAGATAAATATGCTGCTTATGTGTCAGGCCTAGAGCCAAGTAGACGGGCTCCTTTGTCTTATCTATTACGACCCATGGTCTATAATTGTCGAGCTTCGCGAGATCGCTGCCACAGAGAAATGGCAGGAAACTGTCAGCCTTTACAGTGTTGCACCATTCACTACTCTTAAAGATACTTCCTATCAGATCAAGCTTTCTCGATGAGTTGGTCATTATCAGTTCACACAGGTTCAGGTGATAGGTTCGCCCCTGACGTATGTTCGCAGCTGGTCAGAGAAAGGCGGAGGTATGGTGTAAGATATGATGGTAGAAATGAGGAGTTTAAAGCATTACGGGTGGTAATAGAACATGTTTATAGTTATAAAAGAAATCAAGGGCCTCGCTTTTTAAAAAATAAACTTTCTTAAAAAGGTCCAGATCAGGATAAGAATCATATTTAATTCTAAAAGATCAGACTTGGAGCGGCTGCACAGATGGATTTATAGACGTGCTTTCGACCTTCATTTGGATATGCATTCTCCACGAGTCAAACAATCGTGGGCAGCCGTATGATCAGACATGTCCAAAAAATGTATTCATGAATCCTACAAAGATCGAAATTCGGCACAAGAAGCTCAAGAAGAAAGTGAATTTATCCAGTCTAGCTTTCAAGTTGTGTGAAGATGTAAGGAACACAGCCTTTCGATCAAATAATAGAGACATGGCGATTTGTTTGTGTCCTAAAAATACTACAGCTTCCAGTGTCTGCGACTACTCGCCGACTTGGGTTGACCGCCGATGGCTCCGACTACCAACCCGCGATCACGAGCGCTCTAAACAAATGGACAGAGGATCATAACCTCCAGGAAGTGACCATTAACGACAAGGTAGCGGGGCCGAGAACCGGTACGGTGAAACTCTATGGAAAGCTGCTCGCTGAGGAGGTGGCTCTGCTCATCTTCCGATCATCCATATCGGGAGGCCTCAAGAAGGAGACAAAAAACCCCTGGAATGTAAATTTATCTCCCTGAGGAATGGCCCATTTTGTATTCTCTAACAGACCAACTTGTGTCTTTTGCCGACTATACGACAACGCTGCCTGGCAAATGGCGTGGTATCTTTTATAATTAGAAGACCGCAAGCCACAAGGTGACTCTGGCGCGTACAGAACGTTAAAGCTATTTGTGAGGATTGGACTGCCTGATAAACGTATCGCTGTTTGCACAGATGAGCCTGCATGCTATCCTTACGCCATCCAGCGCCAGAATTTGGCTGGTCACTCTGAAGTTGGTCTACTTGTTAAGTGGCTATAGCAAGTAATCTCGTACTTTGAAGGCAGTATTATCCAAAGCGTGATAACAGATGGTAAAGTCTCCTCGAACGGTCTGCTTGACCACAGCCTTGGCATGTCCGCCTAATCGACACCGACAACTACCTCCATGGAGGTAAGACTTGCGAAGCAAGCCCACCCACCACCACTTCCAGCACAGCTGTCCTACCCAACCCAGGCCACCCACGTACCTCTCGCCCAACGAAGAGACTTTTTGTCCAAAGCCTTCAAGATATCCCTCTCGACCCTTAACGTGAGGCTACAGAGGATAAACGATCCCAAATCCCTCAATCTCCATGGTGAGAAGAAACGCAATAAACTTGGATACCGCCGAATATCTATAGCTTGTAGTAAGTGACGACCGTATCCGGCTAACAGGTTGCTTCCTCTGAGAGCCAGCGCAGTTGTTAAGGTATCTATAAAGGAAACCGTCAGAAGAGAAAGATCAGATGCCAATCACGGAATAAAAACGCGCAGAACCGCTGCGACCAATGCGTCAGACTCAAGAAGGACTGCAACTTTTACCCCATAGAAACCGCCGTCCGTAGCGGTACTGAGGCCGGGGGCTGGACCATCCACCGTGGGAAAGAAGCTCGAGTCCGCATCTGCATTGCATGCAGTTCAGTTTGGACATCCCGCAGGTGGACAACCCCTTCAGCCCGAACTGAAGCGTCGATATTCATGCTGCTTAAAGGCCAAATCAAGATCTGGCTTTTGAGCTAGTTATGGATATGCTGATCTCCACAAGCAGACGCTGTCTAGTCAGCCCACTGTGGGCCACCTGCAGGCTGAATATTTTACCTCTAGAAGGGGCTTAGCACTGGCAGAAGCTGCTTGGCTAAACAAGAACTAAATATGTATTTCCAAAATTCGTGAAAGCGCAACTCAGACGATGAATCCACCCACCATCCACCATCCCCGCGATCCAGGTTCCAGCAGCGACGGAACAGCCGCAGGAAATGATATAGATGCAACCAGAGTGGTTGGTGATGTGCTGTTTGAAGAGTACCTGGTAAACGATATAGTCGGACTGTGTTTCAAGGCATTGCCCAGTCCAGAGAGCAGGAGCAAGCCGGACAATGTCCTCAATCATCGGCCTCCAACGCACTGAACCCACTGACCGGCGCAAAGATCTGTCCTCCAGGCTGTAAATATGACCCGGTGTCGGTCGCCCAGACTAGCGAAGTTGAAGAGAGCCAAGCAGAGAATGGGAGACTGGCAATGGAATCGTTAGCCGACGCGACTACATCATCGCTGGAGCCTGGGCCAGAGTCTGGTTTCGCTGGCAGCCCGGCCGTAAGGAAACGACCACGGCTTCCAAAGAGAACCCGAACAGATACAACCAAGGAACCGAAGCCGAAGCGAGCTCGAGGTCTACGAAGGAAACCAGGACGTTGGCAAAACATATATGTGTACGTGGAGAGCATCGTTTGCCTGATGGAAGGCTGGAGCCAGAAATTGACTTGGGACCGGCATAAAAAGGGGTGGCGTCGTGGCAGTACAGAGATTTGGGATGGGTAGGACCTGCGTTGTACTTGTTGGCTGGACTACCTATGTTCTCGGTTGTAGTACGACCAGGTGGAGGCGGATTCCCGATAAAGGTTACGTGGGACGAGAAAATGGGGAAGTTTACAGGCTTCGACAAGATGTGTGAGAAAGATATATCTATCAGGGCTGATGAGATGGGCGACTTGGTTCTTGATGCGGTCTCTGGGATTCAAATTCAGTGATAATTAGGTAGACCATAAACCTTTACCTGTAATCCATGAGGCTTCATGACAGCTCCCTCCCTCACCTGTACAGCCTTATTAACCCCAGGAGATTGATGCTAGCCGTGGCTGCGGGAGAAAAGGCCTCGCGGCGCCTGACGTTCTCGTAGCTGACGTTGGGCTCGTCCTGACCAGCACGTCACTGCGGCATGTCTACTTCTATACTCTGATAATTGTGGGATTTCTTCTTGAGTCATCCTGATGCTACACATTTGGTATTCCCGGGTCGCCCTCTGAGGCCGCCTGGCCGGGCTTTCAAGGTCAAGCTTCTTACACGTGGGTTACTATATCGCTATCCCCCGCGAGGATAGTACAGGTGGCGGTGTTGACAATTTGGGCATCAGAAAGGCTGGTAATGCTGATATCGGTAGCTGCGATGGTGGGGTCTCGTAATCAGGAGTCTCAAACCTTTGCAAGCCCTATAACATAATGCGTAGAGTTCTGGATAGTCTTTGTGCCAGTATGGATGCTTAGAGCCACTTCTGCTAGATCTATAAGCCAGGAAATGGTGCTGCTACCACCAGACCTTCCAACAACAACAACAACAACCACAACAACAACAACACCAATACAGCAGATTTGCAAACTTTTGGCCTCCTTGCTGTGCAACACATCCCCTGGCCAGGTGGATGCCTTTACGCAAAGCTTGATCGACATGATCCAAGGCTTGCTCGGGAGGGATCTTGAAGTGGACAGGAGCACAAAAACAACGACGGCCTAAAATTGCGAACAGGCTCAATCGTTGCGAGAATTGGATCATAGGCAGGAACTGGATCATAGGTGTCTGCCTGCAGGTTTTAATCTGACACTTTGCGGGCTGGGGAAAAAGTTGAGGCAACTGAACAGCCACCCCTGGGCAATGTTTTGTCTGTAAGATCTTACGCTCGCCGGGGTTCGAACCCGGGTTTCTTTCTTGGGGGGAAGTGAGTTTACCACTCCTCCAAAAACGCTTGTTCGTTATTTCCTCGCTATTGTGATGCGTACTTATATTAGAAGCCCCCGTCTTTAAGATGTAGCCAAGCCTGTGGCTGATAGGCCATCATACGAATCAAAATGCATGAATGTCAATGCCAGCATCCATTGGTTGATTCCATATCGCGGTATGATGTCAACCACACCATATTTAAGGCCGAGCGAGAGGGATTGCCCAACCTACTCGTAGCACATCTATTCTACCTCATCCGAGGGTCTCTCCTTCCTGGTGGAGCGTTACCCATGGACCAGCGTCAAGGCGTGGTTGGCTGTTGTCTACACCTATTGCGTCACGAGTAACCTCGGGCGCGAACAAGGTGCCTGGACGACGAGCTGAGAGATCACCAGTGAAGCGGATTGGCGGGTCCTACTGTGCCAAAACGAGGGGACACGTTTAGAGCCGTTCGGCCACTCATTATCGACCCGTCCCGACCATCATCGGGCTTACTTGCACGTCGGATTCCCGCTTCTATCATCCTTGCAGTACCCTGTCCGTTAATGACATCAAAACAGATTCCCAGCAACAAAGTGGATCATCCGAGTTTTGTCCTTACCACCATAGCCTTTCTAAGGATGGCTGAAAATGGACCTAGGTCAATTCTCAATGTCTGCCCAGTACCATGTATAAAGCCGGAAAGCTTATCCATTATGCGACATGTTAAGCTTATATAGACTATCATATAGGGCATCGATCCCCGTACTCCACTTGATCGCTTGAGTCAACTACAGTAATGGAGTGAATGTCGCAACATCTTCTATATCTGAAGCCAGATCAATCATGGTCTTTCTTGCCATATGGTTAACTTTGGCCTTAGTCAGCTTGGGCCTTGCTTCACCTGCTTGACAGACTGTTAGCTTTGAGTTGAACTTGGGAATAACTGTAGCTTCTGGCTTTGTAGAGTTTGGCGGCGGCCTTTAATTGACACCTCTTGCTAGCACGTTGCCCTCGCACTCTCTCAATACTTCGAGTTCGGACCTTGCTAAAACTCCAAGCATGACTACTTTCGAAGCTAGACCAACACTCAATGCCACTTGTTTGACTACCTATCATAGTCAGGCTTTCCCTCAAAACACGTTACTCGCTACCACTGTTCTAAACAAGACATACCTTGGCCCAGGAACCCGACGCCCGACCTTGATCCCCTCGCAAACTATACCTCTATTTATTTCACGCGGGTATCACCACATTCGACAGTTATCACTGTTTCTTATTACAATGGGTGTTATCTTCGCGTTATTATAGGATTATAAACTCTAGGTTTAATCAATACTTAACAGATAGTTCTTACAGAATATATCTTTGAGCTACTGGGATAAACGGACGATGCTTGTTCTTCGTTTATGTTTTTTCCCTGCCACGCCTTACAGCATCATGGTCTCAAACCCGACGCCTAACAGTCTTGCAATTGCGCCGTCAAGTTAGAGGTTGCCATCCTGTCGATTTGCGAGATGGCATCAAAATCGGAATCAAACGAGGTTCTGCCGCAACTTAAGGGAATGGCCGTAGCAGAAATCTTACTAGAAGCGGCAAAGGTGAGGCGAACGGAAAGGCTATAGCTGCGTCATACATTAGGGTCTTATTAAAGCTTGCATATGCCATTGATGATTGGGGCGCATATATGCACGTCCAATAACGCGTCAAAAGACGGCGGTTCTTCCCTGTCAGAGTCCACGCAGGATTACGCTGTAGATCCTGACCGTACTGGCACACCTACAACCTGGTCAAGGTAACAAGGGAAATGAGAACACAGAGACTCGATCAGCCTCTATGCCATCAATCGATTGTACAGTGTGCAAAAAGACACATCCAGCCGACGGGATATGGGACGCAAATGGTAACCGCCATACGAAAAGTCTCCAGACCTGCTGGAGATGTCACCCGGAAAACCGACCTGCTCAACAAGGACCTCGAGCTGGAAGCAAAAACACAGGAAACAGCCCTGCAAACGACTCCCAGCCTGGAGTAGCGTCACGGGCTGCCCTCACCATCTCGACTGGCCTCATGGCTATCCAACTACCCGAAACCAGACGACGAACCAGGTGGATTTGACGATTTTCTCCACCGTGACACGGTAGCTGGCGACTCCTGCGCCGCTTATACCACCTTCAATGTTCTACGAGCTCATCTCATGGTGGCTTTGGAGATGCATTTGCTCTGCACTTCTGAATCCCTGACCCGTCAAGTGGTCTCGTAGATCCTTGTGAGTTCTCGGTAGTGATGGGAGCTCGCTCCGGTGGATTCCAGCTCCACTGGCAAGTTTTCTTTTGAGCCTCTCAAGGTCTGAAGATCCCTGGGGCAGTCCAATTTGTCGTACCATCAGGGTGGCGTTTCGGACGGTTTACCATCCGGGCTTTCTTAGCCTTGCTCACCGGCTCACCGTGCTTCACCTCCGCGGCGCTTAGGCGTCCTGCATTGAACATGGCCTCCCAGCAGCTCAAGCGTGGTGTCACTCCGAGGTAGGACGACTCTATGGTCATCCCGGACAACACAGGCGCCGCCCTCATAGCTGCAGGTCTTGTCCCTGTATTGCCAGCTTCTTTAATAGCTACAGTAAAGAGCGATGTTGCAGGAGGAGGAGTGTGATCGGGCGTCGGATACAGCATAGGGAAAGCATTTGTGTAGAGTTGATCAGGCTCACACCCTTCTCCGGAGTCCTCGTTAGAGGTTCCATGTACGTCCGAATTCACCATGTCATCGCTCTCTGCTACTCCACCGCGCTTATCGTCTTCCGCAATAAGGGGACTGACGTCCTTGTTATTGACAAATAACTCGCGTTGATTTTAAGCTACACGATCCAAGACGAGGGGAAATGTAGCTGTTCGATGCCTTTTATGTGCCTGGCCATCCGACTTGATACTATTGGGAAAGCCCAAGTCTGGTCAGGTATTTTGAACATACAAGTTGGCGTAAGCTCTGGACTGACGCAGCCGTCAGCGGTACTGTTTTGTTTTGCTTTTCACCTGTCAGCGCATTTTTGTAATGAGATATGATATTTTCTAACATCGAGCCCGAATGATATCCCTGATTGCTGCGAGGGCCTCAAACATCTCGCACCGGCTTCTCAATGCGGAGAGGGTCCGATCAGTGGCGCATTCGCTGGCCTGCGCAATCACAAAGACACTTCGCGAACTATTGTACCAACACCACTTCCCAGAACGAGCCTCCAACTGAGCTGCGTCGATCCAATGCTCTGCCAACCAAGTTGGCCCCCTCCCGCGTTGACGTGGCGGCGTTGGTTGTGCTCTTAAGCGGGTGTGCGTGTGTGGGTGCACAGCAGAAGGTGTGCCTGGTCAAAGGGGAACCCTCCCATCATGTTAGTCGTGTGGTGCAAGTACGGAGACCTGTGGAAGAAGTGTTGCTTAGTCGCATCTACGGTGCCATGGTGGGTGACTATACCACAGGCGCTGGTCGCATCGTCTCGCTGTTCCCGCAGTTCTGCCTTCCCTCCAGGGCCTGTATGAGTCTTTAGTACGTACTTATCAGGCATATGAGTTCTTGAATGCGCTGTCTGCGAAGGCTCAATGTGATCGATTGGTCAGTGCTGTGATGTAGAGGCTTCGTTATAGGGCAGTCTGCTGGTGCCTGGCAGAAGGTGATGTAGCTGGAGACGGGCGAGTCGGACAACAACCATGTGTCGGATGTTAACAATAATACGGACCACGTGACCAGAGGCATAGGCTCACGGGCTCACGGTGATCCAGGCTCACAGGCTCACAGTGAGCCAAGAGCAAACACCTCATCAGTGAGGGAGAGATTGGATATATAAGGATGGACATTTCCTAGCTAGACAGATAGACAGTCTCTACCTCAGTGATCAATCTAAGCATCTTAGCCAACCCTAAGGTGGGAGAAATCTCCTGATGACTCGACTATTCAGTGAACCCCCGGTTCAGACTAAGCCTCAGCATCTAAGTGTCTTCTAGTTAACAGAAGCCTCTGTCGTCCTTTGTGTTGACTTACCTCAGAACATAAACCCTATAGAACCCTCTAGCCTTATATGTTAGACGGCTCGTCAAAGACAGGCCCCAGTACGTCGCCGTGGAGTCCTATGCATTCGCACTTTTAAGTCAACTATCCCTCTTGGCTTGTGGTGGTCTGTTTATGAGTTATTCTGATGATGTTGCACCATCGTAATCCCAAGCGCCACGTCACTGCCTCTGGCACAATCCTTCATAGCCGCTCGACGATGCCTCAGTACCAGATAGAGCTGACAGCAAACCGTTGTTGAGAATATGTTTAACCTGAAACATGCCCATATAATGTGGGCTGGTTTGACGAGAAGCAGCTCGCTACCAGGGTCGAGGAGCACAGGGTTGTTCGGGTCATCGAGGTACACGACGACCGAGCCCTTCAAGCACCTTAACCTCGGGACGAGGGCAGGCAGAACCACAGCGCTCGTTGATAGCTACTGACGGACCGCAATTCGAGCCGCTCGACTATGCTTCAGTACTAGACAGAGCTGACAGCGAACCATTGTTGAGAATATGTCTAACCTGAAACATGCCTTGTGAAACAGTCAGCCCTGCTTTGCTACCGATGAGAGCGCCATCGACACGCAATTTCACAGCCCACGACGTCGGTTGTAGGTCATAGGGGCTCCGTTTTCTGGTACGGGGATCGATGCCATATATGACAGTCTATATAAGCTTTCGGGCTTCATATGTGTAACTAGGTAGACACTGAGAATTGACCGAGGTCAATTTTTAGCCCATCCTTAGAAAGGCTATGGCACATCCACAGCCATCTCAGACCCGCCTGGTAAGGGCAAAATTCGGATGATCCACTTTGGTGCTGGGAATCTGTTTTGATATTATTAACGGACAGGTTGCAGTAGACTGCGGAACCTAGTTGTTCCATCCCGATCCAGCCCCCTTCTGGCACAATGCTTCCACGGTCGTACAAGAACATTCCAGACAGACAGAATACACACACGCACTTCAACCTCACGATTGGCTCAAATCTGACAATTAAGAGTCTGATCGCCCGATCCCTTTGACTAAATCTTTTCATCCTTCATATCTAAAGCCTGTGGACGGTGCTGACGGTGTCGGCGGGCCGCGAACATTACGTCTCGAAACGCGGTCGGCCCAGAAGACCAGGAACCGGATAATTTGCGAATCGCTGGTTAGGACCTGAGATTCCTATAATGTTGAAGCCGAGGTCCAATCAACAGCAGCGGGTATGTTTCAGTGTATAGATCTCTTTTGACAACCGAAATGATTGGATGTACAGCATTCTGGTCCAAACTTCAAGCTTAGCTGCCTGGAACAGATCCCTCCAGCACTAAAGCAAGATCAGCCACCGCCCCCCCCCCCCCCCCGGAAAATATTGGCATTATCCCATTCCTAATGCTTGAACCTCATGTGCCTTGCGTATGCTTTTCGGTCGTTGCTTTCTGCCCGAGGACCGTTTTGGTACCCCGGCAGAAGACAGTGTATGACGCCCGTTCTGTGATGACCCACCACCCTTGTGGCCTCTCTGCGGCCTTCCGTCTCGAGACCTCACAGACTTGACAGACCCTGCACGGCTGGCTGCTGGCTGCGCCGGTCGACTGGGAGGCATGTTTGGCGATGGAACTGCCACTGGGTTTGACTGCGAGTGCTCCATACTCCCATTGCATTGCTTGGGCTGAGGGTTTCCCTGAAAGAATGCCGTGGCTACCGTTCCTGTCCAATCCATGGGAGTACTCGCAGCGGCGTATATCGTTTTCCCGGTTGCCTGGCTTGCACGTGACGATACTCCCAAACCCAAGGTGGCATTGGTCAGTGGGTTTTGTAGGGTGAGAAGATCGCGAGCTATTGGACGCCGACCGATGTCAACGGCGAGCATAGACGCAAAGGGACGTGCATGTTGGTGCTGGTTTAGACATCCCTGGAGGTACTCATACCACTGCTCCCATTTCGAAAACCGGGCTTGCCTCTCTTCTTCAGGCAGGAGTTGTACCAAACACTCCATGACAGTCACGCCGAGTCCCCATATATCAACCTTTGGTGTCTGCTCCCTGTTTGCCCAAACTTCAGGCGCCATGTACCATTGTGTCCCAACGACAGTATTTGATGTATCAACGACCTTGGCGATCCCAAAGTCGGTCAAAAAGAACTGGTCGCCTGAGTAGAGGATATTCGGAGGTTTTATGTCTCGATGAATGATTGGCGGATCGCGAGTGTGTACAAAGTCCAGTGCGTGTAACATCTGGGAAAGCATCGCGTCGGTCTTGTCCAGCACCGTGCCTGGTACTTCACATCGGAGCCGCTTTAGCAAGTCGTGAAGGTTTCCTTCATAAATAGGCATGAAGATTTTGATATCCCGGCCGATCTTGAACCCCTGGGTGTGTGCGTATGGGACGATATGGGCCTAATGGAATCAGTGTGAGGCAAGCAATAGACGGAAGAGGGAGCTTACGTGCCGTAGCTCCCGAACCAAGTTCACCTCCATTTCAACTCTTGCCCTGAAATCTCTCTCCGAATAGATCCTCCATTGGGGTACCTGTGCCTTCACGGCGACGATTTTGCAAGCGTAATGCGCGCCGGTATACATGTCAATAACCTTATGCACTTCACCTTGTCCTCCGCTTCCAAGCGTCCTGATCCTGGTAGATCGGATCTGATCGTCCTCCTCAGGCTCGAGTGGGGTCCTGAACCGCGTATTATGGGGGTTGAAAGTGATCGTTGATGCGGACCTGTAAATGATTGTTAATCCTTCAGATTGGAGCGACTGCAAGCCAAGGGTGAAAATCCGCTGCAGGGTCCCTTCGATTGTCCGATTAGGGTCGGGTTGGCCCGCAAAAGCACGCCTCGCCTACGTGAATGTCGCTTCATCTTGGCCCCGCGATGATCGCGGTATCAGACGAAACTCGGCGTTACGCACGATGAAGATCCACTGACGTTCAACAGCAAGACCATCGGGGTTGCGATATGGGTCAGGGCTCAGTACCACGACACACTGCCGGGGGGTCTTCTATATCTGCGGAGCCCCTGCCTTCTCCTTTCTGTTACCGTATTTATCAGTCAAGATAATAATGTCGCAGAGTTCTGTGTCATTCTTCTCTGATATATCGTGTAGAAGTAGCTCTCCGGTGTCTCTATTAAAATCGAAATAGCACTGGTCGTTTCTAGAGAAGCGCCTATTGAGGATCACATCATTGTGTTCGCGCCGGCCAAACTGTACAAGGTAGGGTTGGCTTTTGAGTTGCTGGTCGAGCCCGATTCGCAAGGCTAGCTCGTCCGAGTCCGTGTTGGGCACCCTGCGTACTTGTCGGCTGTGATTCGCGGAGTCTCGAATGATCGCTGCGGCATATTTGTTGTTGTTAAAGGGAGTAAGATAAAACACCGTTCCGGGAATGTCCTCCATCTTGGGAAAGCATGTTTGATGAGAAAGAGCCAGAAGCTAGCTGGCCACGAAGGCCTTCGAGTGTATTGTCCATCTGTTGGCAGACGACGGGAGACGGGAGAGGGGAAGAAAGGGGGAGGGGAACTGATTGGAGGAAGCTTAGCGCTGTGACACGCTGTAACACGCGTCGCGCGATTTGGCAAACCGCTCTAACTTCCTGCCTCTCAACCAGAAAACCCCCGCCCATCAAACATCATCGATTCCATCCTTCACCATCGCTCCCGACGTACCCAAGCTCGCCAGCAACGAGACTTAATAACGCACTCCATATCGCCATCTCGTCAGCTCCGCATTCATTGCCATCTCGATGGCTCCACACACGCGCGCAAAGCGTGCACGCAACGTCGCGTCAACGCCTCATCCATCTATGAAAGCCACCTCCGATAATATTCCTCCTCTAGCCAAAGGCGATAGCCTCGGCGGCCGTCACGAACCTGAGAGTGTTAGACAGGAGACCGACGATCCGAAAAGTCAAGAAATAAAGACACCAGCACCCCAGTACCCACTGTACGGCTCGGGTGGGCGAATATCTGGGCGAGAACCATCACGGACGCCGACACCGGAGCCCTATGATCCCGAAACCTACACGGCCTGGTATCGGAAGCATTATGGCGAAGAGCTGTACGCAATCGTAGAGTGCGAGCAGATGCCAGTACCACGCACCTACGATCCTGACACGTACGATCCTTATGCGCGAATGCCTGGACGCCCGATTCAGAGCCCTATCATCCTGAGAACTATGCGGCATGGGGCAGAGAGCGTTTTGGCGAAGAGTGGTACTAATTACGAAAGACCATGCTCGAGCAAAGGAACATATATCTTCAGTATGATCCAATCTACAAAGAACGCCAGAAAGCCCTAAGGATAATGGAACACCAGGTGGAGAGGCGACCGTTCGAGCCGGGACTTCGAGCTGGCGGGATACGTGATGAAGGGTGGAAGCGCTTGTGGGCTCGACTTTCCAAGGACTTAGGCGTCGATAACCACACATCTCCAACACCGTTAAAGGGCAACGACGACAGCGAAACCGACCTCAGCGGATACAACACGTACGCCCCAACCCCCGAAACTCGCGAGCCGACGCCTCTCTCCGACGATCCATGGGAACGACTGGAGTACGACCGGGGACGTCTGCACTGGGACGAGGAGAGGTATCGATTCGAAAAGATTTTCCTCAACGAGTCCCTCATAGATGGGGCTAGGACGAGGAATGAAAATGAGCCAGGCGACAGGCAAGCCCGCGAGAAACGCGAGACAATGGAAAGCTTTCGCTACGTAGATCCTGCTCGATTCTCTCTTGAACAGCGCCGCTTTCAAGACCACATTGATCTCCGGAAGAAAGGCTGGACGCAGGAGGAGATCAATGCTATGCATGATGCTGAAGCTGGCATAGTTGAATGGCGACAGAGGAACCCTGCACCAAAAGGATCAGGCGATTTTAATAAGGCAGTTACCCCGTACGAAAGAGCTGCATCGGATAGCTGGGAACAGAATCACAATGCTGCAATGATTCGGTTCTATGGGGAGCTTCTGCCCCACTTTTCAGGTCCTTTTGGTGCATCAACCAACCAGGAGGAAAGGGATGTAATGGAAAGCTGGCGTAAGAATATCCAAGCTCGCGTCTCCGGTCAGCAACAACGAGAACCCCTGCCGAACCTCATAGGCGATTATTCATCTACTGAAGTGGCATTGAAACCGCGGGTTTCATCTCGACACATGAAGGACACCTTACGCCAGACTCGCGGCGGTCGAATTGCCAAGAATACAGCATTGCCACCCGATCGAGGCCGTGGACCTTCTAACCTCGACAACAACACACGAACAGAACCCCAACACCATAACAAACAGCGTAAGACTTACAAGAAGGAGCGGGCAAGCCGAAGGCTCGCAGGAGAATTGCCTGAATATGGGATACTGCTAGGACAAGGTGTAGCAGAGCCACTCTACAAGGCCTCCTCGACACAGCCTTTGACCACCCGCCAAACGAGTGGCTCGAGGTGTCGCAGCGACAAGCTCTCGAAAAAGCCAGCGACAGTGAGAAGCGCAAGACCAGGGGACTTGAAGTCTAGGCAAGCTAGGCAAGGCCGTCCAAAGAGGCTGGCAAAAGGACCAAAGGGCTGAATGAACACCAAAACAAAGCAGAGTATAGCATAAGATAAGGACGCTATGAATGCAGTATCACAGCTGAGTCATTCGAGCAGCACCGTTTCCATACAAATACACACAGCTGCCCAGCTAGCTGGTCTCACGGCACGTATAAGGCACCCGTTGCGCTATGAGGCAAAAGCTTCAACGAATGGTCATTGACCCCTATTTCTGTGCTGATGATATTGCCATTATATGAGTATATCTTAATCCAAGTGTCCGGCCGTACCTTTGTTTTTGGAAGCAAGTTACCCGACCTCCACACTCGTGAGCATCCCTTCTTGCCATCATACCGATATCTGCAGTTTGTGAGGCCGCACGGGCAAAGCCTCTCAGTCTCTCTGTCTTTCTGTCGCACCAGCGGCGCCGACACAGTCCATATATCTCATTGCATCTCGCCGCGCATTCTGGACAGAGCATATGTCCTATGGACGTTAGCTTGCCTTAGAGAAGCGGACACCACATAACGTACCGCAAGGATTTATCCGCCATTCAGAAGATCTGAGATAGTAAATACCGGTAGCGCAGTTGGTTCCGACCCCAAACACTCGAAATATGCCCTGGGGTCCGTATTGTACATGTTGTAGATGAATGCAGAAACGCAAGTCCTCGGACCAAGGTATTGCACAACTTCCAAGGACTTTGCGTGCGATAGTTATTAGTAATTATCAGAACAATTGCTGCAATAAAGCTTATAAAGTTAACGACATGCGCCTGCCGGGAAGAAGAGGACATACGCAACCGCAGGATTCCAGAATGAAGCCTTGGTCTGTTATTACACCGCATAATTGACAGCAGTATTAATCATCGCCTGTCAGGTCAATGCATCGGCGCTTGGTATAGAGATAGGTAACCTCGTTGTGACATGGTGTGAGGTTTTTATGCGTCCATGTTGGAGGTAAAGCCATCATAGGCCTTGCAAATGTGCACGGATGGTCATACAAGAAGTGTCGAAGGTGAGGAAAAGGAGAAGAAGACTGTACTCTCCAGGTGGATATCTTATATGCCACGCATTTCCGCATTTACGATATTGCGGTCCCAGCGAGCCCTGGCACATTATAATACGACATAGCCGCCCGTTGAGTGCTTGTCTCGCGCATCTGGAAAGTAATTCTTGGGCCAGATACCGTGCCACTCGTTCAAGGCGTCACCGTCCAGGTGGTACACTCACTGACGACAACGTTTGCAAGGTGGGCGTCTCGCACCGTCTCTTATAGGCACTGCCACACGGCAAGGGTAGACCGTCGTTGGGCGTTTCCTCGCCAGCCTCTTCAAAGACACGCTGCATGTCCTAATGGCCCTCGCTACAGGGGTGTGACCACTTGTTACAGGGCACTGCTACCTCCTAACACTCACTGTGGCTTACGTGCCATTCAACAATTTGTTCGAAGAGTTGGCCATTCACAGCACGTTGCCGACAAATTTACAGTTCTTACTAATGATACAATTCCCGGCCATGATCCAGTTCCTGCCCATGGTCCATTTTCTGCTCATGATATGGAGCTGCATATAGTCATAATGGCTCCACTTTACTGGAAGTCGTAGCAACACTATCGACCTTATGGCAGCGCTAAAAGCTCGCACAGTTTATCGTAGAAGCATTTGACGTCCCACCTGCTGTACTGCTGGAGCGTTTTTCGATCCTTCTCGAGAAGTCCGAAGCCGTACTTGAAAATCTCGGCGGTCGTGGCACCCTTCCAATCCGGACTTGTCACCAGCTGCTTCCTAGCTAGCTTTCTGCTCCGCAACCCAGCTTCATCCTGGAATGCTCCGTCGAGCGGCCGCCACTCGGCAATCTCAGACAACACCATCATCAAAGACCAGACTTGGTAGGGCCAGAGAGGTTCGTCTGCTTGGTATGCAGGGTGTTGGTACATGTCTGGGGCCGCTTGTCGCGCCCAATCGAGGACATATGGTTTGGTAAGATCTAGCTTGTTGGGGTCCCCAAAGAAGACGAAACTTTCGGTCCGCAAGGCTGTATGGTGAATCTGAAAGTGGACATAGAGGGATCGGACCTGTGTCGCGATAATTCTACCCAGAGCACGCCTGTCGTCCACAGAGGGCTTTGGGACGTGTAAGAGGACTTCACGGAGGTCCGTAGGCTTCTGAGAGCACTGATAGATCAGGGCGGTCCGTGTTTCATCGTAAAATAGGGCCTCAATCTTTAAGGTATGAGCCTCTTCTGGTCGGTTTGCTTCGGTGGATATCCTTTCTGTGACGGTTGCTAGATATTTGTTCAAGGCCGCTGGCGCCGCTGTTGTCCATTCGACCAGCCCGAAAGCAGTACATCCGTTCCGAACCCATTTGCCTATATTTCGCGGACCTTCTGGATCCGAATCGACCTTGTCTACCCCGCCTGACATTTTGCTTCGGCTGAGCTGTAAAATATCAGTATGAGTTTTCACGACACGGTAGAGTGGCAGACCTAGCAAGTTTCGGTGGCCAAGCTATGATAACTGCTCTCGGTGTTTCTGTTTGAATTTTCTGACTTAAAAAAATAGGAATGCCCCGAGAAGATATATGCTACCAGTAGCGATTACGTTCCCCTGCACATAACGCTGCCTGAAAGGGCGCTGGCGAGGACGATGGTGGTACGGACCATGGACCCACCGTGCACTGCCGACTTCTCGCACATCACAGGCTTGCATCATTCTACCCACTGTGACTCACTGCCTCGGAATGGGAGACTTTCCCGCTGGTCGTCCGGTCACTACACACACGGGTTGAAGCCCGAGATCCAATCAACAGCAGCGGGTATGTGTAAGTGTACAGATATCTTTTGACAACCGAAATGATTGGATGTACAGCATTCTCGTCCAAACATCAGGCTTAGCTGCCTGGAACAGTCCCCTCATGCCCTAAAGCGAGATCAGTCGCCCACCCCGGGAAAATATTAGCCAGAGGGACCTATGGATGCGGATGTCCTGAGATCCACAGTTTCAGGTCAGGGTAGGTTATTTGCGCTATTACGTGAATGTAAGGAAATTTTAAAGGCGGCTAAGGATGGCTGGTAGCAATCGCAGCTAGAAATAGCTTAGGTGTCCTACATAAAAACACTCCCTGGTAGTGACGGGTTCTCTTTCAACCAATCATTCTCGGCCGCTTTCAACCTGCCTTTCGTGACGTCTTTGACAACGAATGAATGAGCAACGACGAGCGAACTCCGGATGTCGCCCTGACGCGATTCTCGATACTGACAAGCTCGACGACCACGATACACCCGTTCCGTTCGAATATCCAGAACCGACACTCCCCCGTCGTCGCGGCCGCCCTCCGAAGCTCCCTACACCCGTCCAAGCCCCAAAGCGACCTCGCGGCCGACCAAAGAAGGTACATGTGGTGCACCTAGCCACCGTGGATACAGAAGAAGGAAATTTCGCTGGTTTCCCCGTTCAGCAAGACGTCTATGCCATCTTCCTCTCTCATAAGGAACGTGCTGACCACGCCCTCGCCTTGAAATTGCGCACTGAAGGCAGGATCACAGCCCCCGGAGCACCCTTCGAGCAATCCGATGTCTTTGAGATTGAGTCTCTATCCGCCGATGAAGTACTTGTCCCCATTCTATTCGACAGTGAAATTCACGGCAATACCCGACTTTTTAACTCTCGTCTCGTCCGCACTATTAAAGGCGTCAATGACCGCCCTTACGAGAAGAGCAGACTCGTCGTTCAATGCTTCCACGTCATGGGTGAAGGAGGTCACCAGGTCCATGCACGCCCTTTTCGGAAGAGCACCGCCATGCTGTGGGCTGAGCACCCTTTGTGAAAGTGCTGTCCAAGCCATCCTCTTGGCTAACAGCCGCTCCAGGCCCTTGCCTAGACAGGAGAGCAACGCAATTGGTCTTCAAGACCGCACTGAAGAGCGGTCTTTCTTCCCTACCTTAGGGATCATTGATACATCAGCATCACGCCAGACTGTAGGATAGTGTCGCAGCTGGAGGCATTTCTTAAAGACCCCGTGTACGGCATTCTTGATATGCCCCCAGCACGCCTTGAGCAGGCGCACCGTGATGCCGTCCACGCCAGGGGACGTGCTGGATACCCCTATCGTATACTGCTTAACTTCCTTTATCGTAGCCGAGGTCTCCCAGTAGAGCTTTGCTTCCGACTGTTACCAGCCCTCTAACGGTTCGTAATCTAGGTCATCTGCGTTTGAAAAGCGGCCTAGTATCTCTTTCCGTAACACTTCTGCCTTTTCCTTTGTGGATTCTATGACTCGATCACCGATCTTAATCGGCGGGGACTTTAGCTGTGGGCCTAGCCTGTGCCAGGCGATGATCTTATATAAGGCCTTGTCGGTATTAGCCGAGTTGATGGTCTTCTTCCAGTATTCCCGTTTGGCCTTGCGAACCACTGCGAGAAAATAGCGGTATTATTCCGTGTACTCTTGCAGCCCCGGAGGCCTGTTGACTTCAAACGCCCTGTAAATATCGTGGGCATCTGTACACTCTTCGGTCCACCAGGGGGCTGTGTGCCCCTTATTAGAAGCTGGCTTGCCTACTGCTATGAGTGCTAACTGTATCACATCCGTGAGCTTGGTCGTATACTCGTCCAGGCTTGCTTTAGACCGTACCTCCCTTGTGTCTCGCATCGATGCCATGCCGGTAGCCACAAGCGCTGAAAAACGTGGTAGGTCGTCCTCGCTAACCTTGTATTAGAATTGTTCTAAGGCCTCGTTGCCTCTGCCCGGTATCGTTATTAACAAGGTGCTGTGATTTGACTCTAAGGCGAGTTCTTCGCAAACTTCGGTCTTAACGTAAGGTACGTTAGTAAATGCCATGTCTAAAACATGCCAAGCACGGTGTGTAGCTTGGCCTGGGATGCCAGTAAAGTACATCCTGCTATCAGTAAGCCACGACGCCACGTCAGCGCCCCCTATGAACAGGTTAGGCGACGGCTATAAGCTAATAAGGTAATCGATCATC